TGTTCGTGACTGCTGTCTTGAGCTGAGTGGGCTCCATGCTTGCCATGGTATGGAGTCTGCAGTGTTCACCCAGGAAAAAAGGCGCAAAATAGTTCTCTGCCGTCCGTTGCTTTCATGCAGGGAGGGAGGGGTGAAGCTGTACCCAGAACCACCTGCGACAATGTTTTTTGTCCCATCAGGCACTGGGATCTCAACCCAGAATTCCAATGGGCGCGGGAGACTGCGGGAACTATGGGATAGCTATGGGATAGCTACCCACAGTGCAACGCTCCAGAAATCGACACTAGCTCCAGTACTTGGACACACACCGCCGAATTAATGTGCTTAGTGTGGCCGCATACATTCGACTTTATACAATCTGTTTCCCAAATTCGAATTATAAATTCGGATTAATCGCGTAGTGTAGACATACCCAAAGTCTGAATAGGACTGTATTCACTACTCTGCCTTGGGAAGCATGTTATCCTGAGCAACTAACTTAATATCTCTGTGCCTCATCTGTAAAATGGAGATATTTCCTTATCTGATAGCATGATTGTGAGGCTAAACTGATGAATGTTTGTAAAGTGAAATGCTTTGGTGGAAGATGCTATATTCATGTATTTACAATTCCAAAATTATGAGATTTCTGAGGCAGGTCTTGTGTTAAAGAACTTGAGAGAGCTCAGGGCTAGGACAATTCAGTTTATTGAAAATGATACTATTTTTCAGTGATATTCCTCATAAGAACTTTCATATGTTTTACTTTCAGGTTGCTAGGATCCTAAGGCAGACAGCCACCTCAGTAGGAAGACAGTGCGGAAGAAATGAGTAACTTATGAAACGGGATGAAATTAAAATGTACATCTCCCTCTTTGGGACCCTGATGAGAGATGTATGGTCACTTCTAGAAGATGCAGGATTTCACACAGACTATGACTAATAATTCTAATGAGTGCACCATTAATCACAGCATACACCAGACTTTATCCCCCACTATATACATACTTGTCTTTGTAGTAGGTCTCCCAGCTAACTGCCTCTCGCTGTACTATGGGTACCTACAGATCAGGGCCAAAAACGAACTGGGGATCTATCTGTGCAATTTGACTATAGCAGACCTGTTCTACATCTTCTCTTTGCCTTTCTGGCTCCAGTACGTTTTGCAGCATGACAACTGGACCTACGACGAAAATCTGTGTAAAATCTGTGGCATACTCCTGTATGAGAACATCTACATCAGTGTGGGCTTCCTCTGCTGCATCTCCATTGACCGCTATCTAGCAGTGGTACATCCTTTTCGTTTCTATCAGTTTCGGACAATAAAGGCTGCTGTGGTAGTGAGCATCATAATCTGGGGCAAGGAAATTCTGATGAGCTGGTTTGTCTTTAAGCATGCTAATATTACTAAGGATGCAGACAGTCATATGATATGCTTTGAACATTATCCCATCAAAGATTGGGAGCACAATACCAATTACTACCGCTTCTTTGCTGGTTTCCTTTTCCCCTTCTTCCTACTGCTCTTTTCTTACTGTGGCATTTTACGAGTTGTCCGCAAGAGCCATGGTACTCAAAAGAAGACAAAAATCCAAATTAAACGTCTGGTTTCAAGCACAGTTCTCATTTTCTTGGTTTGCTTTGGACCATACCACATCCTGTTGGTAATTCGCAGCTTATTTGAGAACAACTGCAAGTTTGCAGAGAAAATCTTTAATATTTACCACTTTTCTCTCTTGTTGACTAGTTTTAACTGTGTTGCTGACCCAGTATTGTACTGCTTTTCCAATGAGACCACCTACCAGAATTTTGTCAAAATGAGAGACTCTGGTTTAACATGCCTAAGATGTTTAAGGACTAAACCCCAGGTATCCTACCAGCTGAAAACTCCAGAAACCCTCAGAAAAAGCAACAGTGTACCAGCAGTTGAAGAGCCAGAGTTATTAAACAAACTACATACTGTTAATGAAATGAAAGACTCTTCCATCGCCAGTATAGACAGACTTTAGCACCCATTAGAAAGGTAGACTGATCTAAAGTTTCCAGGTCTAAGTTTGGGCTTCAGTCTTTGGTTTATAAATGTATTGCAACTGCTTTACATTCTAGAGAGCTTAATAACTCATCAGTACTGTAAGCAGAGCTGAGTTGATACTCTTTCCACAGGGGGAATTCCTTAGTTCCCTTGAGTAACCTGGGTCTTGACATAGGGCAGGGAAAATATACACCAGGTCAGTTTAGCTCAGGTCACATGTATATATTACTGACTCAGTATAGCGCTAGTCATGGGGAAACTGCTTTTCTGATGACTGGACTGGCTGAAATAAGATGTTAGTGGTGTGAATTTTCCATAATGGTCTTTAATTGCTGATTGTTTGTCCATGTATTGACTATATGAGAAAGCTGTCAAACTCTGTGATCACCTTGCTGAAAAGGTGGAAGATGGAACAAATTATGTAAAATGAAGTGATAAACATTTCCCAAAAGAACATTTTTTTGTGTATGTGTATGATTTCTGTAACTTTGTCCCAATCATCCTCATGCCATGCAACAACCAGTGAGCAGGGAATGCAAAGACACAGCCAAACTAAAAAAGCAAAGAAACAAGCCAACAAAATCATGAGGGATATATTAGAAGAGAATTCACAATGAAGCTTTTTTCCATAACTGATAGTTAAGTTAATGTCTGTTGGGTCTTGAGCCACTGCTCTTTGGGCTTGGTCCAGTGCCACTGATTCTCACTGACTTCAGTGGACACTCGATCTGGAACTTAGTGGGCAATTTATTTATTCCATGGACTTCAAAGGAAGCATTAGTTTGGGGGCACAGATAGAGTTGACACCACATGCCAGTGCACTGATTCACAGTATTTGAGGATACACATTCATTTAAATCCATACTCCGCTAACCAGTTTAAAATTTGAATTGTTGTGTTTTTCCATGTTTCTGGTGTTTTGTGCAGCACAGAGCATAAAGGCACTTAAATTATAATAAATTGTAGGGCAGACAGCGTGTTGAACAGGATGAGTTTAACTTCTGTGTTCCCCAACAGATTTTTTTAAAATTCTATAGTTTGATTTGTTATAAAGGGAACCACTTTTCCTGGAATGCAGTGTCAAAATGCATTGTATGTAAAGTGATCCATAATGGCTTTTGGTTTACACAGAGGGACCAGAAAAAACATAGGGAGTTACTATTCTACAACGAAATGTATTAGCAATAAAAGAATGGAGAATCGCATATGTATAGACTCCCACAATGCTTCCTACCCACATCTTGTTTCTTATACATCTTTGCTTTGCTAATCAATACTGCCTCACCTTTACTTCATCTCCTTTTTGAAGTCTAATTTTTGTGCCTTCTTGCCTTCTGCCCCTTACACCCTAAAATCCCACCTGCACTGTTGCTCCTGGCATCCACCTTCTGCTTTCAAAGTTCTCCTTAAAACACACTAATTCTGTGCAGTGCAACACACAGACAGACAATAACACACAGCAATGTAAATACCCAGTATATTTAAAAAGACATTCAAAGACAGACCTTTTGCATCTTGTGTCTGATTTGTGTTGTCTGTATGCTTAACAAATAATACATACTGAACGCTGCACTGAAAATCACTGTGAAAGTATACACTAGAAATAATTAGGGAATGTGTTTAATAAATAATGTGTTGATTATATTTTCCTCCTGTATTGATTTGATCTGTGATTGGAGTAACTATCTTTTGGCTTTGGCCCACAGAGTCCATTTGTGATACTTCAGATCATTCTCTCTTCCCTCCTTGTGCCAAAAGAAATCATATCCCCACTCCCAAAAGAGGATTAGGTCTGTTTACATTAACACTCAGCTTGTTTAGTTCATTTAAATTTCTTTATGCTGAGAGCTCCCACGATGCTGGGTTGATTTCCTTATAGATGCACTTTTCTCCTGCTCATTGTTGTTTAACATTACTTCCTTCCAAACTTTTCCCATTCCATTCTGCCCTTTTGGTGCCCTCTAGGTCACATGGCAGCAATTCCAAATTGCACTAAAGCAAATCTAGAATGTTGTTGGGAATGCAGCCTGCACAAACACATCTTTAACTATTCATTTTCCCTGAGCTAAGATGGTGTTTGGCACACACCAGTTTTAGATTAAGAAGCTTGAAGGCAGTTGTTGCCTTGTTTATGTTTAGCTACTTTATAGTCTTCCATGTCACTTAAAATATGGACCTGGAATGAAGAGTATGGCATTTTACATGCAACTGTCATCTACCAGAATAAGGCTAATCTGAGTTGGTACATGCATGGGGCCAAGTTTCATTGTCAGTGTAAAAGCAGATTGAAACCTGTGCAACTGAGTCAGAATTTGGCCCTTAGAACTTTAAAATTCTCCCCTACATAAAGGGAGGTGTTTGTGGTTTTCTTTTTCTAAACATGAACTCAGTGTTGCTTAATGAAATTCATCCTGCCGGACAGGTGCAATTTTAATGTCACGACTATACCAGGAGTTTTATCATCACAGATTTTCACTATGACTGCCTTTTACTCTGCATATAACATCATATGCCACATTGCAGTTGTCAGGAAAATGCTATACATCACCACCAGATTAAAGTCTCATTAATGAAAAAGAGCTGGGATTTTTATTATTATTTTGAGAAAAACAACAAAGTGTTAAATTTAGTATTTCCCAGTAATAGCTATCTGACATATCCCCATATTTGGATGGAAGATGGGAGGGGATAAAGACTTACTAATTCAAACACTGTCCAGGTTCCTTCCCCACTCTGAACTTTAGCGTACAGATATGGGGACCTGCATGTGAACCCCTAAACTGAATTACCAGCTTAGATCTGGTTTTGCTGCCACCATTCCCAAGTACTAACTCCCTTCCCTGGGTAGCCTTGAGAGACTTCTTTACCAGTTTCCTGGTGAACACTGATTTAAACCCTTGGATCTTAACACAAGGAGAATTTAACCATCCCCCTCCTTTCCCCCCACCAATTTTTGGTGAGTCCAGATCCAAGTCCCTTGGATCTTAAAACAAGGAAAAATTAATCAGGTTCTTAAAAAGAAGGCTTTTAATTAAAGAAAGAAAGGTAAAAATCATCTTTGTAAAATCAGGATGGAAAATAGCTTTACAGGGTAATCAGATTTAAAGAGCCCAGAGGAACCCCCTCTAGCCTTAAGTTCAAAGTTACAGCAAACAGAGGTAAACCCTCTAGCTAAAGGAACACTTACAAGTTGAGAAAACAAAGATAAACTTAACACGCATTGCCTGGCTGTTACTTACAAGTCTGAAATATGAGAGACTTGTTCAGAAAGATTTGCAGAGCCTGGATTGATGTCTGGTCCCTAGTAGTCCCAAGAGCGAACAACCCCCAAAACAAAAAGCACAAACAAAAGCCTTCCCCCCACCAAGATTTGAAAGTATCTTGTCCCCTTATTCGTCCTTTGGGTCAGGTGTCAGCCAGGTTACCTGAGCTTCTTAACCCTTTAGAGGTAAAAGGCTTTTGGAGTCTCTGGCCAGGAGGGATTTTATAGTATTGGACACAGGAGGGCTGTTACCCTTCCCTTTATAGTTATGACAAACACTCTTGACTAAATGTAGTGTTGTAAAATACATTTGTTACAGCTGCTAATTGGTGGTTATAGAGTTAAGTAAATGCAGTCTGTTAGTGGAGTGCCTTCATCCACACACTGGACTGTGTGTGGATGCAGATGTGAGAGAGACCCACACAAACCAGGCCTCTCTCTCTCACCAAAGGGAAATTGCTGCAAAATGTCAGTTTCATTATTTCCCCATGCTTTATATAGGAGTCATGCAATGCTACTATTATTTCACTAGTTCTGGTAAAGCTTCCCTTGTTTATTCACAATCAAAAGAATACACAGTCAGAGGGGCTGCAGGAACTGTGTAGATCAGTGGTTCTCAAACTTTTTTTTCCCTACGGACCACCTGAAAATTGCTGAGGGTCTCGGCAGACCACGTAATGATCTTTCCAAATGTTGTTGTACCGTTAGCTAACTATTGTAAAGCGCTTTGGATAAAAGCACTGTATAAAAAAAACCCTTAATAATAATTAATGTTTTTGGGTTCTACACATAAAGGCACACAACTCGTATTTTAATAACAGTAGTCTTACCTTTCTAATGCGATGGCTGTGCCCTCTCTCCCCTGCCACGGCAGTGGGAACGGGGGGGAGGGGACTCTGCCCCGCCACAGCAGCCACAGAGCTGAGACTGGGAAGGAGGGCCGTCACTCCCTGCCAGCCACAGCCCTGGAGTTGGGGAAAGTTGCCTCTTTCTCTGGTCGCTGCAGCCATGCATGTCCCAAATTCACTCCACCACCACCCTCTTCTCACCCCTCTGCCCTCTCCCACCTACCTCTTATTCCCCCCCAAGGCCACCACATCACCTTACATGTGTGTCTTCTCCAGGGTCCAGGTACCTAATTAGTGGAGCCCCGCCTACGCGGCTCCACTAATTAGATGGGTGGCCCTTCATTATCTTGTGTGTGGCTGCCCAAGGCACGCACCTTAGAGGGAACTAGCCGCGGACTACCTGAATGGAGCTCATGGACCACTGGTTGTCTACGGACCACAGTTTGAGAACCTCTGGTGTAGATGATACATTTAGGACTTTCACTGCCATACAGCCTCTTTTTTGTTAATCTGCACCTTTATTGGAGCTGCTTGCCATACTGTCTTTTAAAAAACAAGTTGCTACAAGCACTACTTTCTGTTGCAGCTATGTGGCTTAGTAAAACAGGAACAAGCAATGGGGTTATAACACTTCTGCATTTAATGGCAAGAGACACTTGATTTTTTTCATGAAACATGGGTCACCTTTTACTATATAAGGCCATAGGCTGTATGAGTGAGTCATAACTAAGAGTTTTATATGTATCAAACAGGAAAGATGGTCTTGTGGTGAAGGCACAAGCCTGGGACCCTTGAGAGCTGCAATCATGTCTGTGTCAGACGCCTTGCGTGATCTTGATGAAATCATTTAATTTCTCCAGCTCTCATGTCTTCATCTGCCAAATGGGGCTAATGAAACTTCCCTATTTCACAGCAATGTTAGAAGGATAATCATTAATGATTGTGAGGTGCTCAGACACTAGTGATGGAGGCCATTGTACCTATTGGGTTCCTGCTAAAGGATCCTCCCCAGCCTAAGGCGAGGATCCACAGGACCCGAAACCCAACTGATTTTGGGGGACAACTAATGAAATAACAGGGATAGGAGTGTGGTCACAGGATCAAAAGAAGGGAGCCTGATCGGGACACCGAGCAGAGAACCCTGGACAGCGCCCACTGCTCCTCAAAGGCGTCAAGGGAGCCAGTGGACGCCGCCCAGAGGAACTCTGCCCAGATACGTGAACGGACAGAGGATCGGAAACAGGGCCCACAGTCACAGGAGTCTCTCTGTGTGAGAGACCACCTCTCCCTGGTTTTATATATGGCCGTTTTAGCCAGGGCCAGGAGGAAGTTGACCCATGACTTTGTGGGGCCACAGATAGGGAGTGCATAGAGAAGGAGGTGAGGGGAAAAGCGCAGCCAGAAACGTAACAGAATATTCTTGAGGAGCCGGTACAGGGGCTGCAACCTGGCACACTCCAAGTAAAGGTGCGCCAGGGTCTCCCTCACGCCGCAGAAGGGGCAGGTGTCTGGGACAGGGGTAAACCGCGCCAAATACACGCCCGTACTCATGGCCCCGTGAAGGGGCCGCCAGCTGATATCCCCGGCGGGCCTTGGGACCAGGGTGGAATATAGGCTGGCCCACTGGGGCTTCTCACCCTCTAAAGGTGGCAGGAGGTCCTGCCACTTTGGGTCGGGGTGGGACACAAGGGTGAAGAAGTGAAGGGTGTGGAGCATGAGCGTGTATAGATGTTTTCTTGGCATAGTCTGGAAACGAACCGGCTGCAAGTCGTGCAGCCGGCTCACGGAGAAGGGGTGGGGGGCCACTTAGGTCCACAGGGCAGGGGCCCGATGAAAAGGTCCAGGGGGCCCAGGGTGGAGGGGGCGTGCCCTCTCGCAGGACCCGGTCGAGGTAGGCCCAAGCAGCAGGCGGCAAAGTGGCCCACACCTCCTGAAGTATGCGCCGGGGAGTACAAGGCCTGGTTTTTTTAATCAGGAGGGCATCTAGTTGAATCCCCTGCTCAAAGCATGACCAACTCCCTGACAGATTTTTACCCCAGTTCCCTAAATGGCCCCCTCACGGATTGAACTCACAACCCTGGGTTTAGCAGGCCAATGCTCAAACCACTGAGCTATCCCTCCCTCCCATGGAGTCCATTGTAGCAGGGTGGTTACCCGCTCCTGCCCAGAGGGGTTTAAAGACAGCCCTGGGAGAGGGCTGGGGCAGGGGAAAAGCTCTAAAAGCTGGGCTGATTGGGGAAGCAGCCACAGCTGGGCCATGCCCCAATCAGGCCACAGCTGGCCTGTATAAAAAGGCTGTGAGCCAGAGGCTGAACAGTCTCCCTCTGCCTGTAGAGGGAGAAGGGCCTGGCTGCAGGGAGCTAGAGACAGGGTACCTGAGTGGAGCAGGGCTGGGGAAAGGCAGAGGAGCTGAGGAGCTCCAGCCTGGAAAGCCCCAGGCTGCGGCCTAGCATAAGGCCAACTGGTACTGGGGGTTGCAGAGGGTCAGCCCAGGGGTAGGCAAAGGCAGCAGGTCCAAACCCAACCTTGCCGGTGATGAGTAGGCTGATATTGCAGTCTGCCCAGGGCGTGAGGCTAGATGATGACTGTCAGTAGCCTTATACTGAGGTGAGGTGGGGATAGTGGGTGGGGGTTTCCTGGGGAGGGGAGACTCTGAGAGAAAGGGGCAGCACCCCAGCTAACGGGGCACCAGAGTCCAGGGAGGAACATGGGGGCCAAGCGGTAGTGGATCACCGGACTGCAGAGGGCGCTCTGGGCTGGAAATCGAGCTAATTCCCTAAGAGACCAGCAGGAGGCGCTGCAGGGCTGAGTCCGCCCTGCTACAACCATATAAGTACCTACATATATAGAACAAGCCTTTTCTGGTCTTCCATACCTTGTTGTTAGATTGGGGTGGAGAGAGAATCTAATAGAAACTTTAGAGTTTAGAAATGGTTAGGGCAAAGTCATCACGGTATCTGCTCCAGCAGTTTTTCAATTATAACTGAGTGTATGTTGTAGAAGGGCAGTCCATCCACTTCCATTTCGAGACTGGCAGTTACTCCACTACGGACTCCATGCTGTATAAGTGTTTTCAGCAACTTTTCTTCCTAAAACAAGGTATAATTAATATATTACTAATGTAACTAATAAGGCAAAGAATATTCCTCAAAATCTTTCAATTAAATATTAGAAGACTGTGACCATATCTGCCTAAGAATTTATTTTGGCTAGCAGTATAAAAAATATTACCATTCTAAAGGGGCCAAAGGGTACTTTTAGTAGCAGGAAATGCAAGTGCTAAGGAATTAACAAACAGCAGTATTCATAGTATCAGAGGGGTAGCTGTGTTAGTCTGGATCTGTAAAAAGCAACAGAGGGTCCTGTGGCACCTTTAAGACTAACAGAAGTATTGGGAGCATAAGCTTTCGTGGGTAAGAACCTCACTTCTTCAGATGCAAGACTTGCTAAAGTACATTTTACTTGCTAAAGATCTCTGGCCTGACTACATTGAAAAAGCTTCTCCTGTTTAATACAATGTGATTGTCTCTGCTAAACTATATTCTACTGTCAGATATGTAACTCTGTGTGTGTCTGTAATGGGCAAACACAATGTGTAACACTTTTCCTTAGCTGTGGAGTTCTTTGCAATTCACTCTCAAACCAATGTTTACAAAAGTACTTTAAACTGAGCACAAAAATTAGGGCAAGAAGAAATTCAAATTTAATAGAAGAAATAGCAAGTAATACAGTAGAAATGCACTAATTTGCACTAGTAATGGGGAAAACCCATTTGTGAATTTAACACGTGAATAAATAATAGTAAAACAAAGATAGTATATCTTTATATATTCATTTATGCAGACAACTATAGTTCAGCTTGAATTTATGATAGTACATAATGTGTGAGTGAATGATGTGTAGTATATTTTGTAATACTAATAATGAAATTTTAGCAATACAGCAACTTCCAAAAGAAATGGTTCTTTGAGATGTAGATCTACTGGAAGAAGAAACTTACTCTAGCAGTGGTTCTTCAAGATGTGATAAAGACGTGTATTCCACTTAGATGCATGAGCACACAGCATGTCGGAGCTAGAGATTTTGCCTGACGGTACCTGTAGAGGGGTGACACCTCATGGCTGTGGCCCCTCCCCTGGCTATATGAGACAGCACCACCCGCTGAGTTCCTTCATTCTGAATGCTCCTGAGAGAAGACTCCAGTGCACAGGGGATGGAGGGTAGCCTGTGGAATACACATCTGCATAACATCTTGAAGAACCACACTTACAGTAAGTAACCGTTTCTTCTTCTTCAAGTAGATGTCGAAGTGTATTCCCCTTAGGTGACTCACAAGCAGTACACCTTCCAGGAGAGGCGTGTTAAGGGTCTATCGAAAGAGGGATCACAGGACTGTCCTTCTAAAGCTTGCATCCACTTTGGAAGATGCAATAATAGCATAATGGTCTGTAAACGTGTGTATGAATGACCATGTGGCAAATATCAAATATGGAAAAGTCACTGAGGAACACTATCACCATTGCTTGCACTCTCATCAAATGAGACCATATCAGCTGAGGAGGTACAGTTCAAACTATCTTGATATGCACAATCTTGATACAGGATGCTATCCATCTAGAGATGGTCTGTGAAGAGACTGCTTGCCCCTTTTGTGCAGTCTGCATATGCCATGAACAGGTGTGGCAAAGCACGAAACACTACAGTTCTATCCAGGTAAAAGGCTAGACACTGTTTGACATCCAAAGTATGGAGGTACTGTTCCTCCGGGGATGAATGCAGCTTAGGAAAAAATACAGGTAAATACACTGCCTGGTTCAAATGAAACTCAGACCCAACTTTGGATAAAAACCTTGGGTGTGGTCATAAAGTTACCTGTCTTTGAAGAACTGTGTAAGGAGGCCCACCCATCAGGGCCTGCAACTCACACACCCTCCTTGTAGATGTAATGGCTACAAGGAATGTGGTTTTCTGAGACAAAAGGGGCAGTGGACAGGAAACAAGGGGCTTGAATAGAGGGTCCATTAGAGCTGCCAGAACCGTGTTTAGGTCCCACAAGCGGACTGGCTCACGGACCAGAGGATTAAATGGCGAAGCCCTTTTTAGAATTCTTGTCATCAAGGCATTGGAAAAGATTGAGTTTCTGTGAACATGAAAGATTGCTGCCAGATGCACTCTTAGTGAACTGACTGCAAGGCCCAGTTTCTGTAGATGTAGTACGGGGCGGGCAAACCTTTTGGCCTGAAGGCCACATTGGGTTTCCAAAATTGTATGGAGGGCCGGTTAGCAGACACTGTGCCTCCCCAAACAGCCAGGCGTGGCCCGGCTCTGCCCCCTATTCCACCCCTCCTACTTGCCCCCGACAGCCCCCCTGGGACTCCTGCCCCATCCAACCACCCCTTCTTCCTGTCCCCTGACCGCCCCCGGAACCCCTGCCCCTGACTGCCTCCCGCTATCCCATCCAACCCCCACTCTCCTTTCTGACTGCCCCCTGGGGACCCCTGCCCACATTCCCCCCCCCCATTCCCTGCCCTCTGACTGCCCTGACCCCTACCCACCCCCCTGACCACCACCCCGAACTCCCTGCCCTCTATACACTTCCTCCGCCGCTCCCCCCCCCCCCCGCTCCCTGCCCCCTTACCACACTTCCTGGAGCACTGGTGGCTGGCGGTGCTACAGCCGCACCGCCCAGAGCACCAGGACAGCCAGCTGTGCCGCCCAGCTGGAGCCAGCCACACCACCGCGCAGCACAGAGCACCAGGTCAGACCGCGGTTCTGCAGCTGCGCTGCCCCAGGACCTTGCAGCCCCGCCGCCCAGAACATTGCGTCGGCAGCGGCGTGAGCTGAGGCTGTGGGGGAACAGCAGGGGAGGGGCCCGTGGGCCAGATGTGGCCCACAGGCCGTAGTTTGCCCGCCTCTGATGTAGTAGGTACTCCAAGGTGTCCTGGATAGAAGATTACATTGGTTGGATCCCGCAGGCCACAAACCACACAGAAGACCTCTTCCACTTTGCTAAGCAAGCCATCCTAGTAGAGGACTTCCTTCTAATGCGTAGGACTTGTTGGACACTGAGCACTGCTCTTTCTCTTCATTAAACCATGCAGCAGCCACGCTGTAAGGTATAGGAAGGTAAGTGCAGGATGGAGAGTGATGCCATGGTTCTGAGTGAGTAGGTTGCAATGGGGAAGAAGTGGTATGGGAGGCTGAACCAACGGTACAAGATGGTCCAAGAACCAGTACTGCCTCAGCCATGCTGGAGCAATGAGGATGAGCTTGGCCTGATCCACCTTGAGCTTGAGGATGACCTGAGGAATGATCGGGATAGGGGAGAACGTATAGAGAAGAGTCGACTGCCAGCTACAGTGGAAGACATCAGAGAGTGAGCTTGGGTTGAGACACCCCCACCAAGAGCACATTAGGTGACACTTCCTGTTTTTGCTCATCACAAACAGGTCGACCCTGGGAATGCCCCATGTTGCAAGGATGACCTGGAGGACCCTCGCCTTCAGGGACCACTTGTGACTCAGGTAGAAAACCCCACTTAGATGGTCCATGAGACAATTCTGCATGCCAGGCAAGTGGACAGCTATCTACTTGAGAGTGATGTCCTCTTAAATGCAGAATTGCCCAGGTTGATCATCTCTAGGCACAGTAACCTAGAGTGTGCTCCCCCTTGTTTGTTCACACAGTACATTGCGGTGGTATTGTCGGTGAGTATGTGAACCATGCATTGTGGATTGCCCAAAGCTCCAGCACTCTGCTATGGAGTGAGGCTTTCTGTTCCAACCACAGACACTGTACTCCCAGCGAGTCCAGATGTGCTCCCCAGATGAAGGGAAGCATCGTAACTACTGACTTATTTGGAGAAAGCCAACTGAAGGGGATGCCCTGCCATACATTGTGTGGGCATGCCCACCACTGTAAGGAGTACAGGACTAGTGGGGGAAGGTGAACCAATCTGTCCAGAGAATGCAGGGCAGGGTGGTAGACCATCTACCACATGTGAAGGGGGTGAAAGTACAGCCTCACAAATTCGACTACATGTGTACAAGCAGATATGTGGCCCAACAGGCTCAGACGCACTTGGACTGTTGTGGAGGGCTGAAAATGTAGACTAAGGCAGAGATGTTGAATTTCATGGACGTGATCAGTCAGCAGGAACACCCTTAAGATCGTGGAATCTAACAGGGCCCCAATGAACTCGATTTTTGATGGGCGCGAAGGTTGACTTTATGGTGTTTAAAATGAGACCCAGACGGTTGAGCAAACACAACATGGTGTTGGTGTAGGCAACAATTTCCTCTCTGGAGCTGCTTCTTAGTAGCCAGTCATCAAGGTACAGGAAGATGTGGATTCCCTTCCTCCTGAGATATGCCATAACCATGGCCATGCATCTGGTGAAAACTCAGGGGACAGAAGAGATGCCAAATGGGAAAACCATATACTAAAAGTGGTGTTCTCCTACAATGAAATGGAGACACTTCCTGTGGCTTGATAGAATCACCACATGAAAGTAGGTCCAGAGCAGCAAACCAGTCATTCTGAGACAGCGCAGGGAGGCTAGTCAATAGAGTAAACATTTGGAACCTCATGTATTTGATAAACTTGATGAGACCACGAAGATCGAGGATGGGTCTTATTCCACCCTTGGCTTTGGGTATCAGGAAGTACTAGAAGTAGAAGTCTGGTGTTCTGACAGAACTTCCTCCAGGCTCCACCACTCCCAATGCTAGCTGAGAGCAGACCTGCTTGATGAGCAGTGTCTCATGAGAACGGTCCCTGAAGAGGGTTGGAGAGGGGAGAGGAGGTGTAGAGAGCAACTGGATGGCATAACCCAATCTGACAGTGTCTAGGACCCAGTTGTCGAAAGTAATTGATCCTCAAACATTATTAACATGGTCCAGCTTGTCCCCAACGGAGTAGGGGGAAGAAGGTGTAGCAATGACTGGAACAGTGCTCTGGATCAAGGAGTCAAAATGAGCACATAGAAGGTACAGGGGGAAGACACATGGACTGGCCAAACCTCAAGCTTGACTACTTTCTCTTGTGGGAACGATCCCTTTTTCTAGGGTAGTCCTGCTGTTTCGGGGGGAAGAAATGCACAAAGGAGTGCTGCAGGCAGTACTACTGCTGCTGAGCACCATAGTGGTGCCTCTGTGTCAACAATGTGTACCTCCGCAAGAACCTCAAGATAGCCCTGGAATCCTTAAAGGAGCGCTAGTGTGTCATTGATCTTTTCCGAGAACAAGGTCCATCCGTCAGAAGGCAAGTCCTCAATGGCTTGCTGGACATCATGTGCAATTCCAGAGTTTTGCAGTCAGTAAGCTCTCCTCGCAGTGATTACAGAAGCCATCACCCTGGCCAAAGTGTCTATAATATCAAGAGCAGACTGCAGGGATGTCTTGGGCACCAAGCAGCCTTCCCATGACAAACACCCAAAACTCCTCACACAAGGTCTCAGGCCCACGAATTTGTACATAGCTGTCCAATTAAGGAAATTATATTTGGACATCAAGACTTGTTGATTGGCGATCCACATATGTAGGGACAAGGACCTTCTGGGCTGGAAACTCTACACGTCCAGCAGCTTGGAGTTTCTGTCGTTAGCAGTGGACTTTCTGCCCTGTCGAAAGTCACCACCATTACAACCAGGGAATCGGAATAGAACTCCTCAAATCCCTGCACAGGAACAAAATAGCAATTCTCCATGCACTTAGCCAATGGCAATACCGAGGCTGGTGTGCTCCAGAGGGCTTTTGCTGGTTCAAGGAATGCATCATTGATTGGGAGGGCAACTCTCCCAGAGACAGATGGCTGCAGAATGTCCACCAATTTGTGGGTGTTCTCATGTAGGAACTCTGCCTGAATGTCAAGGGACCTGGCTACAATGTAAAAGGTCTCAGTATGCCTTAAAGTCCTCCAGTATGGAAGGGGAGGATGAATCAGACAGAACAGCATCATCTGGAGATGAGGACGATGTTCTTGATTGAGCCAAAGCCAGATCTTGCTCCCGGGATGACTTACCCAGATGGGAGGACTCCGGAGGCTCCAAAAGGAGGAGGCCCACTGATGCCTGGGCTTGCAGCTGATCTGCAACCATCACTGTTGATTTGGTGAATGATCTCGCCATTGAATGTAATGAGGAGTGGGATCTCTACAAGCGAGGGGCATCCCACTGAGTCCAAGGAGGCCACGGACATGAGTACGACATCGCTGGCCAGTAGGCACCAGGTCAGGGACCTCTGTCCTGACCACAGGGTGCATGCCAATCCTGGGAGCCATAACAGTTCATTAGTGGCCCACAGTGCTCATTGAGTGATGTGGAGCAGGAGGAGGATGACCCCGACTTGAATGCGGAAGAGTTCTGGGATCTTGGTGACTGGGTGGAGCAACAGCAGAGGAAGAGAGTAGGTGATCTGATTCATCCATTGCCCAGAATGAGGCAGGAAGTGGTGCCTCAGATGAGAGCACATGCCTGTGCCGAAGGCAGTGTCGGTCCTGACGTGAATACTGATACCAGGGTGCCCAAGTGTATAGATGTCGAGCGTGCTTTATTATCTTAACTGGGCACTTGGCCAGAGCACTAAAAGCAACTGTATTTGAGAGGTAACTGCCAGCAGAAAACACAAACTGGAATTTCTTGCTCAGTTTTTATCTTTTTACACTAATGGAGTAAGGTGTGCTCAAGCAATTTGCTGCAGTGTTTAACTGTTCCAAGGTTTACAGTTAGAGCCATAATAGCCTCTTGACAGAGAATTTGTAATTTTCTTTCTTCCTACAGAGCTGTTTCCATTAGTTTTATCTGAATGAATGTTAGCACTGAACCTTCAAGGGTCCTTCCCATTATCAAGACTGCCAGCTGTAGAACTTGGTAATACAAATGCAAGACAGGATTTGCTCTGTGAGATACTGTGTTTAATTACAATACCTCATTCCCAGGGGATTTTGATTAAAATTCCCCTTGATTTTAGGTCATGTAGAATTAAAGGGAAATTAGAGGTGGGATGTACGTGAAAAATCATTGAAGAATGAAAAGTAACTCATTTCAATTGAGAGATGTTTTGCTAGGTCACAGGACAACCCCATAAGGGTAAGAGCTAGAAAAATATGGTTTCAGTTTCAATTATCTTTCACTTATACCAGGTAACAAAAAATAACTTAAAAGTGCATGCACTGTTCTGAGAAACTTTTTGTAATACCTGATGATTTAAGCACATGATATGAAGAAACAGTCCTGAGTATCCTGTTTTTGTTGTATTTGTCTAACCTGGAATATTAATTTAGTTTTTCTAGTGTTAAATAACAAACCCATCACTGTGATTACTGTGAGATATTTTGATGGAATTTTAAGTAGAACCTATTGTGAACCCAGTAGAAATACTACTGTGATGAATACAGGATGGATGGATAGACAGAAGTTGCCTAGGACTTTGCTTGCAGATCACACAAACAGTATTGACTGTTTGCAAGCCCTTATGTTGGTCATTCTGCCAATGAACATTTAGGAAATCCAGACTGGTGTGTTACTGACACAGTACACCAGACCCCGCTCTCTTAATTATGTTCCTTTTTATTATCAAAGAAAAAGTATAACTATGACTCTTCCCTGCCATTTTAATTCATTCTCATTTTGAAAACCTCCATAGGATTGCAGATTTACACCTAGTTCTGAGTTGTATTGGTGAAATATGTTTGCAACTTCAGAACTTCAATTATCTCTCCTTTCTTTAATTTAGAAATATCTGAAACAGTAGACATCAAATCTGGTAAATAAAGTTCACTCCTGGGCTTCAACCTGTCATAATCAATTTAAGCCAAGAACACTTTTATAGTTGGCTCCCTCAAATGGAAACCTTTATAGATTTCCAATTATAATCTTACTGTCAGGCATCAAATCAGTTTCTACCAAAATAAACATAATAAGGAGGGAAGAAAGGTTATATTTCAAGACAGAGAGTAGTGGTACTGTAAGTTGAAAAAACAATGAAACCCTGTTAGGGGACTGGAGAACCCCTCCCCTCCCAAAATGCACCTTTACATGCTCCTGTGTCCTGGGGACATGGCATCTTTGCCCTTGTTTTAATGTTTATCTTCTTACACCTGTTTCACATTTTCTAGCAGTTGGGGGAGCCATGGTTGGGCATGTCTGGACATGCTAATTATGTGACATGTGACCATCACAAGACACATGAGTAACTTAGAATCTATACCGGGTGTTAAGAGCTTCTCTTTGTGGTGTTATGGTGACAGACTCTGAACAGGGAGAAAGGTTCATCTGCCCACAACCAGTATGCCTTGCTGGATCACCCAGCAGGGAGGGTGATTGTTTACTTTATTTGGTGTAATATAGCCTAGGATCATGTAATCTATTGTAGTTTTCAACAAATGGTTAAAATCCACCTGGTCTCTCTCAAACTTAACTGAATTGCTTTAGGGGAAAGGCAGCTTGTAACACCCTAGAATTGTTTATATTGAACCTTCAAATTGTTTATACTACTGATTCTATCGAAATACTCAAAAAAAAACCCAGCAGCAGATGTATTCAGAGGACAAAGTCTACATATTTTTGAATATTTTTAAAATGATTTTCATGCTGGTGAAAGGGGTCTGTCAGACACTGAGAGTGAAATCTTTTTAAATCCAAGGAACAGGTACAATACAGATACTTTCAGTATACAAGATTTCTCATGTTGCCCCATTAATTTGCCTCAACCCCATTCTGGATGGCACATCTATACGAATAAGAAGGAGGTTCAGTTTTCCATTCTCACATAATCAGTGTACCCTTTTCTGAGAAAGTTGGTTGTGGTATGTGCTCTTGTCCACTAGGAATTGGACTTGGAGCCCAAACTCATTTCCTGTAGCCCATTAAATAGCCATGTGATAGTAGTGGTTTTGAACCAGTGATCAATAGCTGAAGGTTTTAACATCCCATTAGCAATCCTCTAACCTATCCACAGAGAATACCTTAGTAATGGATGGAAGTGCTGATGCCCAGTTTGCCTTCTTGGACAATCTGGGGAACCCAATAGCTTTCCTCAGATAGCGATCATGTATTTCACAGGTGTTGAGGATATACAGAGCACAAGCAACAGCATAGCCTCCCCAGTTAGAGACCCCTGCAAGAGAAAGTCACCATGAAACCTGACAGTAAAAATTAAATGTAAATTTTTTTTTTAAATTGTGAGTGAACCTAATCCACATAAGTCTCAAAGGGTGGGGGAGAGGTAGGAATGTCCTAATAATATTCATTTGGCACAAAAGGGATTTTTTTAATGAAATGTTTTAAGATAGTACAAACATTTCATACAGTACATTGTACACACCCTACCAGTTTACTAATTTCTGAAAAGTTACTGTTCTACTCAATTTAGAGCTATGCTTTGAAATTAACTACACTGAAAAACTCAGCTGTAAGGGCTAAAGACTGGAGATGTCTCTGGCCTTCCATATTACTTTGATAGGTTAGTTGCCAGTGACAAAGTTAGCCGCAATCAGAAACCAATTTATGGACCAGTGGTGGAATACACAATTTCATGGGTTTTATTAGCAAGATTTTTCCTAGTGCCTGTTTTGGATTGACATAGTCTATAAGAACAAGACATGTGCTGTTTCATTAACTGTTCCACAGAGATATTCTATTTTTAATATGTCTTACAGTTGTTTATTTTTATCCTTGCAGAAACATTTTACCGGGAAACATCTCATGGGGAATTCTACAGCATCAACAATTTTCCTGCAAGCTATTATTAGATTACCTATGTTATATCAGATACAGTATATAGTTTATTGACATGCCTCTGAAATCAGTCCTTCAAAGTAAATATTCATATTTGGAGTGATACTAATTATCTAATAATAAATGAGAGAGCCGGGAATAGAATTCAAGAGTCTTGACTCCCAGGCCTGTGCTTTGACTCCTAAATCATGTTTCATCTCACTTGGTGGATACAAATCTTGTCATTCCCATTCACATTTGGGTATATTCTGTAATATAAAAGTTCCTAACTTTGCTATACGCTGTATTTGTGTGTCTAATCTAGAGTTGAGCAAAGTTTTTTAGCTGTTTGTGTGAACTTTTATTTTGGATCCAATAAGTGCAGGTTTGAAGCTACTAGTTTAGTTTGGGGGTTTGTGGTTCAAACAAATGCAAAAACTCAAAGGGAAATGGTCAAAACCAGAATTTCACTTGGCTTTGTGCCAAAGCCATAGATTCTGTGTGGCTTTGACTGAACCAAGTTTTGCCAACTTTTGCAAACTTAGGATGAGCTGAGTTACCAGCGTTTCCAAAACCAGGTGAGGTTTGCATGGTGTCAGATTTTATAATGAAAATTTTATAAAGTTCATAGCTTATTCCTTTTGTTCACAAAGAGCATAGGTTGCGTAAAGAATTCAGCCATTTTATGGGAAGAACAGCTGTGATGAAAACAGCAAATGACTGTCTGTCTGACTGCTGATGAAGTCTATAATTCTTCTTTAGGGCTTTGTGGGATTATAAGTGTTTATCCCAACAAAGTTAATATCCATGCATTATTTGTACACTGAGATCAGATTAGACCTCATTGTCTTTTAAGTGATGTTTGGCAACTTCTTTGAAGATACTTGATCACATTCTAATACTCTGTTTGCATTTCTTTCAGCAGACTTCATATCTTATCATTACTGATCCAGCAACTCCGATCGCACGATTACTGCTCCTGCTCCCGTAATTGCCCAACTACTGTTCCTAGACCTCTGTTTCCAGAAGTCTGGAATACTCAAATTTTCCACACTTCCATTTTTAGAAAATTTGGAAATGAATTTTATAGTGCATGTTACATTCTCCATTTGACCTTCCTGCTCAAAACACATTCCTTTTCTTTTCTCTACTGTGTCTTGGGCTAGCCAGCTGCTCTGAATATAAACACTGCAGTTCCTACAACTTTAGGACATGCACATGGGCAGTAAGGGTGGAAACAATCAGACTCTTCAATCCCTATTTCCCCCCCAACTACTTCCCATTTCTGTACCATTGGTGTTGGAAATCTAGCCTTCCTACTCCCTTCTATTAAAGTGACCTTCCATTATTAATTACACATACATGGGCACCCATTGCACTGAGCTATAGCACAATATAGACCACACAATTTGTAAATCTGTCATTGCTGAATCCGTCTCCTTTACTATTAACTTCTCTAAAGTCTGTTTCATGCTGGCCCAGTCAATGGGGTAGGAAAAGGTTCTAAACATGACGTTGTATTTATGTTTTGTTACATGCAAACTTTAGAATGTATAGAAGCCCTGTAGACATTATTTGATAGAGTTCGCATCCCCCCATATGGAGCATATTGCAATTGATTTTATCCTGGTATGGTACACCCCTCGGACACTAACAAATACATGAAAACTTATATGAATACAAAGTTCATTTAATTCCTGCATAGAAGATGGCTGTACAGTTCTCCTTGAGAGTCAAATGATTTTAATAGTTATTTAGGGGGGGAATTTTCATAAGTACTCAGTGTTGGTCTAGTTCTACTCCCATTGAAGGAACGCTGACTTTAATGAGAGCAGAGCTAGGCCAATACTGAGTACTGACTTCAATGGGAGCAGAGATAGGCTGAATGCTTTTGAACACAACACCTTTAATTGCTTAGTACAGTTTCTAAATGAAATTAACAGCAGTCTAAAAGTTAAAAAGGCTCCAAAGTAACTCACAAACAGGATTTTAGAATCAAGTGATGATCTTTCAATTTAATTATGAAAAGTTCAATCCTGGGACATGCTGAGCATTCTCCATTTTCAGTTATACCAAGGGAAGGTGTAGATGCTCAACACCTCACAGAACTGGGCACAAAACAGAGAAAGCTAACCATAACTGAATCCTCAGTAGGTCATTTAGAGAAAGTGCTAAACCAAAATTAATCTGCAATGCATGTGCTTTGTTCTCAATTTTTTAAAACTTACCGGCTACAATAGCAAAATCAGCTTCAACGTCACAAGCTATAACATCTCCATTTTTTATGTGTTTCCTTATAGCTTCTTTTACTTTTCCCATTCCCAGTTCATTTCCTCCATCCCCAATGCCTTCATTAAAAAATAAAAAAGATCCCATGAGTATCCAAACCACCTTACAAAGACAAACCCATTTATAAGCTATCCAGTACCTTTCATAGTAGTCTGTGTGTAACAGGTCAGCTCTCTTGAACTGTTTCAAAAATTTCACAAAACAGGAGATCACAAAAACAATAGCTGAAAACAATGTAGTGAGGGGGTGTGGTCTCCCTCCCTGATGGATGGGGAGAGAGCTGCGACCACCCCCTGGTGGGCAGAGCCAGGACACCTGCGACTGCCCCGCTGGAAGCAGGGGGGGGGGAACAGGAACCGGAAATATAAAAGGCAGGCCCTCCAGCTCAGTTGGGGTAGAGCTGCCAGAGGAATAGGACATCTCCCCCCTCCACTGCTGAAGCTTGGACCTGATGGAGGCAGCTACACTGCCAGAAACCCAGAGGGATTGCTGGAGCTGCCAGGAACGGGGAACACCAAGGTGTTGTTGGGGCTGCCATTAGCTATTTAGTAGTAACTAGAAATTATGCTCTGTAAGCAACAGCTACAAGAAGGTGACATTATCCAATGCTCTTGAACAGCACTGACACTATGTCTAGGAAAGAGAGGTAGTAATCTTACACTTCATGGAAGGACTTACAAAAATACATTATATTTGTCTATATACGTGCAAAATATTGTGAAATATTTAAAGCAAAAGAGGTAAACTTTGTCTTGTTGCTAGATTTGAGAAAATAAAACAAGTAACAATTTTTGCACAAATATATGCAAATGGTATGTGATGCCTTTGGAAGCAGCAGGAGTTCTTGCCCCAGAACTTAGGAGTGTTTCCTACAGCATTTAGTCCCCTTGTGCCATGGAGTAGAGGGAGCCCTAATTATACTCTCACTACTCTAATTTTCCCCACCAGTTTTCCTCTTAGAAAAATAGACCTATTCTTTTAAAAATTGGTCACTGATTTGGAGTGTCTGCTTTGGGTGCTCTACTTGAAACACTTTGTATCTAACTTTCAGATGTGCTGAGCATCTATAGTACCATTAAAGTCAGTGGGAGCTGTAGGGACCAATAAATGTCTGAATTATTGTTGGCTGTCCTAGGTGTCTTAAGTTGGGCACCCAAAAACTGAGGACCTTCTGAAAAATTTGGCTGATAGCCAGAGATCTGGAGAGCAAGATACCAGATAAATCATTAAATTACATGAATACTGGTGAATTCACAAAATTAAGTGGATAAATAATTGGTTAAACAACTGCAAATAAAGAGTAGATATTAATGGAATGATGTCATCTCGGAAGAAAGTCTCAAGTGGGGTTTCACAGGGATATGATCCGGGTCTGGTGTTATTTAACATCTTTATTTATGACCTGGATGTACAAATAGAGAGCCTACTGATCAAATTTGCAGATGACACAAAGCTAGAGGGAGTTGCCAACACTTTGGAAGATAGAGCTAAAATTCAAAGGGATCTTGATAAATTAGAGAACTGGGCTATAGACAACAAAATGAAACTCAACAAAGACAAATGTAAGGTTCTACACTTAGGGAAGAAAAACCAAATGCACAAATACAGAATGAGGAAACACTGGCTTGGCAGCAGCACTACTGAGAATGATCTGGGAGTATTGGTGGATCACAACCTCAACATGGAGTCAACAAGATGATGCTGTTGCAAAAAACGCAAATGCAATTTTGGATTGTATTAACAGAGGCATAGCATGCAGGTCATGGGAGGTGATAGTACTCCTCTACTTAGAGCTGGTTAGGCCTCAGCTGGAGTACTGTGTCCAGTTTTGGTCACCAATGTATAGAAAGGATGTAGAAAAACTGGAAAGGATCCAGAGCTGAGCGGCAAAGATGATCAAAAGGATGGAATGCAAGGCATATGAGCAAAGGCTGAAGGAAATAGGTATGTTTAGTTTGGGAGCGAGGAGATTAAAGGGGGACATGATAGCAGTCTTCAACTACTTGTAAGGCTGCCATTAAAAAGATGGAGAAAAGTTGTTCTCTTTTGCCCCAGAGGACAGGACAAGAGGCAATGAGTTCAAACTACAGTATAGCTGATTTAGATTAAATCTCAGGAAAAAATTCCTAACTGTAAGAACAGTAGAACAATGGAACAAACTGCCTAGGGAGGTTGTGGAAGCTCCTTTACTACAGATTTTCAAAAGGAGGCTGGATAGCCATCTGTCTTGGATGGTTTAGACACAACAAATTCTGCATCTTGGCACGGGGTTAGACTAGATGACCCTTGTGTTCCCTTTTAACCCTATGGTTTTATGATTCTAAGAGGAAGCCAAGACTGGTGAGGGCAGAACTTCTTCTATGGCTGTTGCTCTGGCTCTAGGACCTCTTCTTGATTCTCGGTTCCAGGCCCGGTATTGGACTCTGGAGACAGAGCTGCCCGGACCACAGTTTCTGCCCTTGTGGATGAGCGTACTGAGTACACACAGTGAGAACAAAAACTGGAAGTTGGGGGAAAACTCCAAGGATTCCAAAACAGCCACTGATATGGGGCTGAACCCCATTAACCTGGCCACATTCCCATGACAGTTCCCATTAAGGAGTCACAATGGTAGGCTGGAAGAGAGGATCTGGGAGGAGACTGGTAGGTCCTGCTTCAGAGTTGTGAGACTTAAGATTCCCACTTATGAGTCCAACGACAAAGACGCCCCTTCCTCCGACCATGAAAAGGCTGATCCAGTCAGTGCCAGGGACCGATGATGAGAACCTGGTGATAGGCGGAGCATTGCCATCATATCAGGCTTCTCCTTAAGACAATGCAGGAAGCAGGCAACTGAAGTACCAGAGGTTGAACTGCTGATACGGGGATAGCACAATATTGCCAAGGAATCCAACCCTGTAGTGACGGAGACATCAACACTGAGAAGCACAGCAGATTTTTTTGCCGCCACAAATACTTCCAAGGTAGTCAGCATCAAGATGGTATCTTGTTGTGGTGCTGAAGAGGATGCCAGTGCCACTTCTGACACCGGGCTTGATGGTGCTCTTTGTGGTGTCAGAGCCAATTGTGCTGACTTAGGCACCAATCTGGAGGAGGAGTGCTTAGGTTTCAGGTGCACTCTGCTCAACTCCTTCTCCCTCTTCCCAGACTTAGAGGGTGGAGACCTTCCCCTGGCTGGGGCATCTTTGGAAGTCTTATATTTCTTCCTTGGCATGGGCAAGGGAGACAGGGTGCCAACTCTCTGGGTGCTCTGGGGCTCAAGCACCCACTGAAAAAAATAGGGGATGCTCAGCACCTGCAGTACCAGATTAATCTTTTGTGGGCTCCACCCCATGCTTTGCCAGAGCTCCTCCCCGAAGCCCGGCCCCACTCAGCCTTTTCCACCCAAGGCCCTGCCCACCTCTCACGTGGGGGAAGAGGGAGGAGAGGAGCATCCACTAGCAAAAACAAAAGTCAGCACCTGTGGAGACAGGTGCCAGGATTCCACTAGAGCTGGAGGTGGGATTCTCACTGAAGTTGCAGACTCAAACCAGGATGGCCTTGACAGTGGCCTGAGCATTACCTCAATCAGCAGGAATTTCAGCCTACCCTCACTAGCCTTCTTCGTTCTAGGTTTGAACTCCCTGCAAATCTGCCACTGGTCTTTTATGTGTGTTTCACCCAAGCACTTCAGGCAGTTATTGTGCTGGTTGCTCCCTGGCATAGGCCTCTAGCAAGAAGCACATGGCTTGAAGCCTGGTGACTGGGTCCACCCAATGGGTATTGCTGAGGGAAAAAGTTTCTGACGACCGTGCACTTGGTGCACAGACAACAAGAATGGAATGCACACGTGCAATCACTTGAAGAACTCCAAGTTCAGATTTTGTGAAACAAAATATAATGTTCATGTTTACAGAACAGCTGAGTGCCAAATTCCTCTTTGCAATGCATCATTTTTGTATTTGACATGTGTCTGGATTCTAATGCCTATCACATTCTACAACAGTAAGATTCCTGTACTCACAATTTATTCTTTAGTAACTGAATTAATCACTGAAACTTGATACAGGTGGAATTTTTATTAAAATATAGTTCACAGATTTCAAGTGCGTATATGTGTTTAATTTTTCTTCTAGTGACTTCAAAGCTATTCCTCAGCAGGAATTTGCTATTTAGCTCCCAACTAACAGCTACATTTTCAGAGTTGAACAAGACTTAGCCCTGAAGTGTGACAGGGAGTTTAGTGGCTAAGTCTCATGCAGAGCTTTGAAAAGTAATAATAAATTGTTGGTGAGTAAGTAATACTTGGGTCTTTTTAGCTTTCTTGCCATTACATTTACTATGCGTTTAATCTCACACCTTTTGCTTCTGTAGCCTATTCAAGTTTATGGCAGTGAATGGACGTATAGCACTGGAATGTGATAGTGCATTCTGTTTTATTCACTTACTAAATAAGTTATTTAAATCTTCACTCTTTTTGTTGATACTTGATTTCAGCTGTGGACCCACTGGATAGTTATTCACGTGGTCTGGGGCTTACTTTACTATCATATGAGATACTTTGGTGATTGTTGCCCAGCAAATACCTAAACTAGATACATAAATGACTCTTGTATCCAGGGTCCCAGGATTAAGGCACATATTTAAAAAAAAATCCTAAAATTAGCTGAGTACACATTAGCTCTTGTCCTTTCCTACTAGTACATATTTTCTATAATAGTTCAGATATCAATGCCTTGGATTTTCCATGTTACTCTTATTTTGCCTTTCTGGGACATTTGTTTTTGTACATATGTTTAGTTAGTGGCTGTGTTGTTTTGCGTGTATCCTATTGGCACTATAGTAATCCACCATTGGGAAGGGAAGGATTTATTTTACTGACTGTTTTCTACCTTCCCCAACTCTTCTACATACTGGATTATGTATTACAACTCAAAAAATCGGTCTCTCCGTGAGCTCTGTTAGGGTAACCTTGAAGCCATCATGGCATTTCACCATATGGTGGATGACTTATCCATGTTCGCCACCCAACCACCAAATGTTTCCCCAAGGGCCTCCCTAACATATGTTCCAAAATACA